TGCAGAAAAACAAGAACATCAGCTTGGCAACCAAGTGCAGATCGGCTTGAGTGACTGTTTTTCCTATAGCAACCTACGGTCGTGAAAGTTGGACAATGAAAAAGTTTAGACAAGAGGAAAATTAACTTATTTGAGCTGTGGTGCTGATGGAGGATCCTGCGCATTCCATGGACAGCGGGAGTGGCAAACAAGCAGGTGCTAGAGCATATTAAACTAGATATGTCCTTGGTCAGCCAGATAACAAAGCTGAGACTCATGTATTTTGGCCACGTTATACAATCAAACTCATTAGAAAAAGATATGAAACTTGGAATGCTCAGCGGCAAGAGAAAACCAGGTTGCCAAAGAGTGAGGTACTTAGACTCCATCAAAGAAGATGCGGGCCAAACCATAATTCAGCTGAAAGAGGTGACACAGGATTGAAAATGTGGCAAGATTTCGCCCATAGGATCACTTATAGTTGGGTGCAACTGAACAGCTGAACAACAACAAATGAAATTTAAAAAGAGGAGGAACTGCAGAAAAGCCAGGGAACCACTACATGATCAGGTGCTTGGAAGAAAGTGGTGTGCCTTTCTGGTGACCCCAGGAGAACCAGATTGGGAGCTGGAAGCTGATGCTCTGCACCCTGGCATAAATAGATTATCCAGTCCTCCTGAAATACTGCTTTAAAATAGGTGATGTGATAAAGTCATTTTTCATAAAGCTATGGAAACATCTACTAAGACCACAAAGCCAAAGTGGTAATAATACCAAAAAGCATAAGAAAATATTGGAAGACACACAAAGAACATCAGAGTAAAACTGATAAATTATCACTGAATCCAACATCTCAGATTCAGGGTCTCAAGGGTCTGAACTGCCAGGTAGCTGCTGCTGGATGTCAGTGAGCTGGTGTCACTGCAAAGCAGAGTGCTGCCCAAAACACAAAAATGTGTGTTGTAGTTATGAATGCCAGCTGCAAGTCTGTCTGTACAAAAAAATCTCATTTACTTGTTCATATACATTATGACTCGGGCTCTGCTTATCCTACACACCTCAGAGATTCTGTGCCAGGCATCTGGGATCCAATATCAGGTTTCCTTTGTAGATTTTTAGATTAAATCAAGTTGCCAGACTTAAGTCTCTGCTCTTAAATACTGCAACACTGAATCATGCCCCCTCCCCAGGTTCTGTGTATTTTGAAAGGCCAAAGTTTGGTAACCCCCATATTAAGGCTAATTCAGCCAACTTACCTGCAGTAAAAATGGGATGACTCAGGGCTCTAGCATCTAAAAATGTCTCCCTCTGCACTTTCCTCACAATATGCACAATTCAGCATATCTCTATCATCTCTCCCCTTACTTGCCCGTTTTTCTAAACTAAACAATGTCAGCTGTTGTAACCCCCTGATCATCTGAGCTACCACTTTTAATACTTTTTCCTACTCTACCATGTCTTTTTTTGGGTGCAGTGACCATAACTGTAAGCAAGGCAGTCACATCATCATTTAGCTTATAAACCATTAGAAGTTGTTAGACTGATGATGGCTTGACATATCATTCTAACCCAGGCAACATGACGCATCATGGGTCAAGCTACCTCGCCACTAATTCATGTGGCAAAAACCTCATCCATCTCTTGACAAATGGCTAACAGAGGACTGCCAGTGAGAGCCATAACAAATTCCCCAAGCAGCACTTTGGGGTGGCCAGCAAAACCTGCAGCTTGGCTTTCAGCTTGTGATCATGGAGGGAGAAAAACTTTGGTATTCCCTCTGGGATACCTGCAGGAGAACCAAAGTGGGAGGGAGTGCCCAGGAACCCACCATGTGCCTGATCATCTGTCAGGCATATTGTGGGCACCCGGGGAAAACAACCCAGACGACACGTGGTGGGTTTGTGCTGCAGTGTGGGCTGCTGTGTTGGGCAAACCCACCCACCCAGTCTGCGTGCGAGAGAGAGAGAGAGAGAGAGAGAGAGAGAGAGAGAGAGAGAGAGAGAGAATCAGTGATGTAGTAAATCTAGGACTTGTAGAAATGCAGCACTGGCACTTCCTTATTACCAGCCATGCTGCAGACCAGGCAGACATCATCTGCCACAATCACCTATCCCATCCCGTTTACAAAATCCAACCAGACTAAGGGCTGAAACTTAGTTCAACTTTGGTGATGGGACTATTTTTTCTATTGCAGCTGAGGACAACAGGCTAGCTTAACGGGTACACAGCTCTGCCTTCCAGCTCCTGGCTATTACCATCCATCCCTCAGCAACTGCTGCTTGAGGCATCCGCTTCACTCTGCCTAAAGATGAACACCAGCTGGACACCAGCTTTTTGCACAGGCTGTACTTTCAACAAAGTAGCTGGAGTCACAACTAAACACTGCAGGCAACAGAATGAAATAAAATAATCCCTTGTTTTAATTACTTAATACTGCTGCATATTTTCTTAGAGGGTTCAAAACAGTTCACATACGTAATCTCAGTAATATTTACAACAATCCACTACTAAGACTGTGCACAACAAACAGAAGTTGAGGCCTTATCTAAGACCACCTGGGGAGTTCATGGGAAATGCAATTTCAGCTACACCTTCATGGTTCACAGAGCTCCCTCTACTGTGCTTCATTAACTCATGTATGTGTAACATACCTTTCAAGGTCAAAATGATATGACTGTGGCTTTAAAAGTGAAACAAGGAATACTTTTAAAATCCTAGAAATTGAGTTCTAGTTGATTGTGCAAGAACAGTAGCAATGCCATATTGACACAGCAGGACTTCTCTCCATAAAAATACAGAACACATTCTAACAAACCAGAGGCTTTGCCCCATTAACTCCTCAGCCAAGCACATATACCCCATGTGTGAACCTGCAGTTCCCCTCATACCAACTAGGTCGACTATCACAACTATTGTTACATTTAGGGAGGAGTCTGACTTAGACGTGTTCGATCATAATCCCACAGATTGTAGTTAACAAGCCAGAGTATCTTTGCCCTTCAGTTAATAGGGTTTGCATATTTTAAAATATCCACCCATTGGTGTCACAGAACTGGAATGAAACAGCCGGTACACAGAAGTTTAGACTTAAGTGTTGGTGACCCCTAGTGGAGCTGATGGTGGCAAACCAAGTCAGACAACTGTCATATCAAACAGGAGACAACCCAGTAAGATGATTTCTTTTTTTACATGAAATTATTAAATATAAACATTAACTCATGATCAGTATGGCTAAAATTTTTTCTTGTAGTATTTTTTTAGCTGTTCCACAACACTGAAGCTAGCATATCCCTACCCCGGGAAAGCATGACTTCTCTTAGAATTCCTCTTACCATAGTCTGCATTTCTGAGAAGAAAGAAATGAACTCATGCCATTTGGTCTTTGAATTATACTCTTTTCACTTGCATTATCTTTCCTCCTCATTCTTTCTCCAAGGGGTAGGCAAATGTTGGGACTATGGGCCCACATGGCAATTTGAGAAACTGTCCCAGGAGCCATTACAAAATAGCTACCATGGCAGGAATGGGAAAATACAAATACTTCCACCCAAATGGCTAAGTAAAAGGAAGAGGTGGGGTCTGAATAAACAATAAACAACTCCTTCGAAGCACAATAAACAACTCCTTCGAAGCCAGTTTTCAGCACTAAAAGAAACCTATTTCACAGCAATCCCAGCTGCCAGTTAGAAAATGTTAATTTTTAAAAAGTGGAAGGGGGAGCCTACCAAGGTTGAGTGCCTTCCCTGACAGGAAAGAAAGATGTCTGGTAGAACAGTGGTGCCTATAAGTGGTTGCCTACTCTTGTCTATGGAGTCCTCATGGTCCTTTGCTTCCCCCCCCCCCCCGCTTTTTCCAGAAGCTCAACTCTAGCTCCAGGCTGCAAAGCATTGTAGTAGTTGTTGCTTTGAAATACATGTGTCTTTTCCCTACATATCCCCTTTACACACGCATGCACGCACTATAGCAGCCTTCCCTAACTGATGCCTTTTAGATGCGGACTCACTGGCTGAAGGACAATATGAGCTGAGGTCCAGCACATTTGGGTGACCTCAGATTGGGGAAAGTCAGTCTGCATTTTCCAAGTACATTAATGATACTTTCTAGTTGCAGTACTGCCAAATTTACAGTAAAAACCTTAGAGCAGAAATTGGAACTGCCCATATAAATCAACACAGAAATCCAGGATTTAATCTTAGCTGTGACAGAAATCCACCCTGGCCAAACAAAAAGTAACAGCGAAGATAGGACATGCTTTAATTCCGGATTCATTTCCTGTAGATTTTATTCAATTACTCTAACTTCCATTCATTTCAGTGAAACTACTATAAGCAGGACTTCATAAACAGTGTCTTTAGAAGCTTTGTGACACTTAACAACACTCTGCTAACGCCAACAAAGCCCCTAATTCAGGCTGGGAGATGGGCAGTAGCTGAGAGAACGCTACATTGTTGGGTCTAACAACCGAACAATGTAGCCATTAAGACTGCAAGTTAGAAGACTGCAAGTTAGAAGCGAGGCTGCTTGTATTTCTAAACGAATTTCCCCATTATAAACAACCCTTCAATGGCAGCATAAAATCATTCTCTCTAGATTACCCCTTCCCCCTATGATTTCATCCACCGAAATTAAGCACCTAATTGCATGCAAACTCCTTATGCGCCATTCTTGCAGGCAGGTACGTTGCATTTCAGTGTTTTCACATTCCGACGGTACGTATTTCGCACAAAGTAAGGCCGGAGTTGGACAGCACATGAACAGCTGCCTTTGTTGTCACTACTTCTGAAGAACCTCGGCCACTCAAGCACAAAGGCTGATTGCTCCTTTTTTCTCCACATGCAGCTCTCCCTCAAGGCGCCACACGGGCGGGAGAAAGTATCGAGACCGGAAGTGACGACTCCAACGGCTCTTCCTATCTCTGCTTCGTAAATGCAACTCCTTCCTAGCTCCGCTGCAGTTGGGATCGTGACGTGCTCATTCTGCGCTCGCGCGTTGTGAGGCTGCGACGCCGATCTCTTAGCAACGAAGAAATGCGTCCGTTATGGCCGCGACGGAGCCGCTCCTCGCTTTGTTGCTCTTTCTCCGGCTGTCGGTGCTGGGGTCGGCGAAGGCTGAACTGGAGATTGAAAACGGCACTCTCAGAGCAGACGACTTTCCTACGAACGCGACGGCTCCCAGCGAGACGACCGAAAACCAGAGCGCGGAGAGCCTCGGGCCTCGAAACGGTGAGGGAGAGGCTGTCGATGGCTCGGGGCAGTCGATGTTGTTACCCTCCCCCGCTTTGGGGATACGTTACTGAGCCCTTTTCATGGCTCACGGCCTTTCCGGCCCTCTTGATCCCTTATCCTCTTTTCCGTTCACTCTTGTCTCCCCACCCGACAAAAAGCAGGACTGCTGCCAATTTGCTCGTGCGACCTGCACCCAGGCTTTTGTGACCTCAACTGCTGCTGCGATTCTAGCTGTGGGTCGGAATGCAACCTGAACAGCCCCGAGTGCCCCTTTTCCTTCTGTCTTCCAGGCAGCATCAGGTGAAATAAGTTTATGTAATCGCTATTAAGTGGGTAGGCTGTGGAACCAGAAAGGAGTGAGCAAGTTTGACTTTCCTCTGCTTGGTGTTTGCGTGTGTGCACTTTTGATCCACATGTACTTTAGGGTAGCAACTAGATTGAAGAGCCAATTAATCTGGCAACAGTGAAGTCTAGACTTTTGGGAGAGGAGAGACTTGATTGCTTGTACAAAAGAGTTCTGGAAGGAGTGACAGAGATATGCTTTTTGCAAATAATCATGTGAGTTTTAGCAGATTCCTCTCTGACGTTTCCTATGTGTTATTCAAGTATGTGTTCTGAGTATGGCTGGTAGGTTTGGAAACTGTGTCGCTTGGACTGCATCAGAGAACTGGAAGAATTCCTTTCTCTTTTCTATGAATATATGGAAAGGGGGAAAGGAGCTTTCTCTGGGTTGCTATTACTTCTGCCTTGGTTTGTTCTTGGAAATGTATTTGCAGGAGGGCTTATGGTTGGGTAGTAAGGCATACGCTTTATATGCACAAGGTTCCCAATTCAAGCCCTGACATCTTTGACTAAAATGTTATTGGGAAGCTGGTCTGGAAAAGTCATCCACCACTGGACAGCTGGTGCCAGTCACAATAGAGCAGACTTACCCAACCTGCTGCCCGCCACATGTTTTAGATTTCAATTCCCAGTTTCCTGACAATTTGCCACGCTGGTTGGAGCTGATGTGAATTGAATTCTAAAACATCTAGAGGTTGGGTGAAGGCTGTGAGTAGATAGCAATGAGCTAGCTGGCTCAATTGTGTATGTCATTGTAAGCTAGCTTCAAATTTTTAACCATCCTGTCACCTAATAACTGCTCCAGGCAATATACAAATCACATAAAATAATGGTAAATTGCATAGATGATAAAATCAAAGCAGCCAAAAGTATTTAATACAGTGTGCTTAATGCAAAGTAGAGATTGGCATTAAAATTAAAGAGCACTATTAAAAGGTCAGAATAACAGAACCATCACCATTGCTTGTTTGAAGCATAATAAGGAGGGGGCTGATCTTGTCTCCTGGAGAGATAGTTCAAAAATCAGAATATCACTACAGAAAAAGTTTTGTCTCAAATTCCCATCAACCTAGCCTTTCTCGGTAGTAGAATAAAGTAGCAGGGCCTTTGATTATGATCACAAATTACAGGCAGGTTCATACAGGAAAAAGTGGTTTTCCACTCTATAATATGAAACTAAAACCTGTAAGATTCTACACACTTAATGAATGTTATGATTTTTCCAGGTAACTTTGACACTAAGCAGATTTGTATGGCTTCTGTATGGTCTCCTTGTATCACAAACAGCACAAAAATATCAGCAGGAGGAAAAGCAGCTCTCTAATTATTTATAATACTGCACTTCATTGTTTGCCAGGAATATAAAAAAGGCTATTCGGTAAATGAGTCTTTAGCCATATATGTTGCATTTAGCCATATATGTTGCATTTAGCCATATATGTTGGACAAAACTGTGTGGAATAGACTTGAGTCTGCATAAACAATGTATGATTCTTTGGTTTTTGTTTATTTTTGCTTAGGGCTACAAGTCATATATGTCTGGAAAAATCTCTCATTTTCCGAAATAACACTCCTTATCGTACTGAAATCCTTGCTGATGGATGTACAGTGCTCTTCTGTATCCAGCTAAATGACTGTAAGTTTGGATCAATCTCATGGTTGCTGTTCTCATGAAAGACTCTTCTCTGAAGCCATGTCAGGAATATAAGTGTAAAATGTGCTGTTCAGCATTTGCTGAAGATAGAGGAGTATCATAGCCTTTTGTTTATGTAGCTTTTCCTTTTAAATCTTGTGAAATGAATTCCAGAATTTCTGAATAGATTATACAACAGATTGTTTTTCTCAGTTTGTGTGAATAGTCAACCCTGCTTTTTATAACTTCAACATTCTCCTATTCCCCTTTTTTTTCTGACAGTAAAATGCAAATACATTGGGGTTGGGTTTTTTTAGGTATCCCTTTATTTAAAGCATTAGTAAAATCCAGTAGCTAAACAAAATGTATTGGTTTCCTTTTGTTAGATCTAGATTTATTTTATGCTTTAATTTAAGAAGACCAGTGAAATCAATGGGAATTAATTCAGTTACGACTCATCTGCCTGCAAGCATGACTAAGACTGCAATGCTATGCAGACTTACATGAAAATAACCCCCATTGAATTTGAGTTTTATTTATTGGCTGGTCAATGACCAAATAAAGGATTGATTGATTGATTGAGATTGAGAAATAACCCCCATTGAACTCATTGGGCATGGACATGCATAGAATTGCATTTTAATCTGAATCCAGATCTATACCTTTGATTTTCATGTCCTTGACTGTTGTCCTGCTCGTTATATCCAGCTTGCCACAGAAGTAAGCATAGACTCTTAATGGGTTTATTCAGTTAGATGAATCTCATAGTGCAATTGAAAAGGTCACTGTTTTGCTGATTCAGCTGCAAATATCTGCTTCATAAAATCGGATGTCATTCTGTTACTAAAGTGACTAGGACCTGACCTATGCAGTTCTGCATACTTGTTCTGTAAACACTTCAGTATTACCTTACTATAATAATTTGCTGGTGTGAAATTGATGTTTTATGAAGAGTGAAAGAGTGGATGCTCTCTGCTAAACCATAAAATACGTTACAAGGTGCTATTAGCAGACCTGCTTTCCCCTTATCTATTTCCTCAAATAATCTTACATGGTTTTTGCACTCTACTGAAGAGCAGAACTACCCAACATTTGTGCAGAAGCACTGAGTGGCTGCTGTTGCTTCAGTACAGTGCTTAGTAATTTGTAGCAGCTGAGCCAGAGAAACTTGTACTTAATCACAAAAGTTCCTTAAAACTTTGTTAAGGAATAGTGAAAGAAGGCAATAAGCAGAATCAAAGAGTTTACAGACTATGAAATACAGTTTGCCCTTATATACTAAATATCAAATCCCCAGAAATTTAGTGGTTCTGGGGAGTTCTATGTTAGTAGCTGCAAGGATCCTCTTAGTAAAAGCTGGGTGATCAACATGGATACCTCTTCTGGTACAAAGGAAAAAGTTTGGACTGCCATGGTGAGAAATAAAATAACTATTTTATTTTAATCCAGCCTTTGTACCAGAAAATGACACTCAAAGTTATAATTTGCCATGGAAAGGCAGAATTAACTTAATAAAAATATTGGATATCATTTATCTATTCATGGGATAGGTTCTGGCCAGGTGATTGAGCAACTGCAAATATACTGCGTTTGTATTATATTAAATTATTATAATTGTCTTGAATACTCATTCTGGGAAACAATTTTTAAATTAATATTATTAATGACTAAAATTACTCTCCTGCCTTCCATTGGATGTCCATAATCCTCTAAGTTCAGGTGGCTACAGGTAGCTACATTGGATGGAGTCATAAAAATATTCATATATATGTTCTTTATAAAATTAAATTTGGGTGTTTAACAGTGTATTTTTAAAAAAATAAAATGCATAATTACCAACTTAAAAGCAATAACCAAATCGGCATACTATCCGTTTCACTATTAAAACAGCAAAGTAAAACTTGAATTCCAGTGTTTAAGCCGACAGCACCCTCACAATACTATTTTATATTGCAAAACATTACAGTGTATGAAATAATTTTAAAAATCATGAATTGATGTCTAAAAGAAAGGAAAGGAGGCACCAAGAAAGCCTTCTGGAGAAGGGTGTTTTATAACCAGGGTATCACAGAAAAACTGCCGCCTTTCAGCATTTGGAAGGGGCAGAAGGATAAACTTCTAACAAGCACTTAGTCTTATAACTTGCCCTGAAAAAGTACTGGTTGTATCTGTAGTTTACCACTGATGGATTTATGAAGTGAATGATGCTACTGTTGGGCTTACTTTTTTCTCATTTCTACATACAGCAAGACTGAATTATTTAGAGAAGCCACAAGCGGTTACAAAAGAGAACTTTGCAGCCCTTTCAGCACAATATGGAGGATCATCATTTATCTCAGTAGAGCAAGTTCAGCCATCTCCATTTCCCTTTTACCGGGTAAGCTGACTTTCAGCTAGCAGTAAAGTTCTGCTTAGGAGGAAGAAGAGGATGGTGGGTGAGTAGTAAAGCAGCCCTTGCCAACCCGTTGCCCTCCAGATGTGGTTCACTACAACTCTTACTACAGTGAGAGCTGTGGTCCAAAATATCAGGAGGGAACTAGGTTGGCAAAATGTTGTCATTTGATACAGCACAACACCATGGGTTATTTTACAGAATCCCCAGATACTGGCCAGAAACTTCCATCATGCCTGAGCATTGGCACATTGGCTGGGACTAATAGGAGTTGAACATCTTCAGCGCTTCAGATTCCCTAGACAGAAGTATTCAATATTAGATTTTCTCTTTCAGTCTCTATCTTTCTTCTGATTTTCTGGGATGATGAAGCCTGCTTAGTAGTTTACAATGTAAGCTTGTTCAAAGGCCCATCTTCATGAGTATAGTGGAAAAGGTCTAATGAAGTCAAACTGATATTTATCCTGTGGTCCTGGATGTGATTTTTTCATCTCTCCTGTTTCCATTTCAGGTGGGGGACCCCATTCAGACATACTTTCCTTCAACATCTGTATTGAGTGTACTCAAACAACCAGTAGGCATGGGAACCAGCCAACTTTGCATTGATGAGAATCCTGCAGGTGAGCATAGGGATTTCAGCAAAGTCCGAATAGTTGTTAGCAGTGATTCACAGATTTTGCCTGTCTTGGTAGCTAGCCACTGAGAGGTTGTAAAAGTGACTAAGATTCAGGTTTCCTGTGTCCTGCTCCAAAGAACTAGGAGTAAACAACCCCCTTTTTGATTATTCACTGTTTGCTAACTGGGTACAAGGAGAGATTGGCCCAAGTTACAAAGCAACCTTTCTGCTGTAACCTGCAACACAGTGTACATTCAAACATAAGGTACAGCCTAACTTTATTTTTAAAGAGGCACATTCCACCATGGACAGCCAGTCATAGTGGATTGTTGTGTCATCTGGTATCAAGAGTGTTTACCATGGGGTGGCTTTTGGAATAAGCCATGCTGAGAACCCTTGACTTGTAGTGTTTTTCTTGCCTGCAATGTCTTACCATGTCTTCTGAACCTAGGGGACATATTTTATTACAGGTAGTGACAATCAACTATAGAGCTGCTTGAGAAGAGCAGCAAAAATCCCTGTGCCTCTTACTTTTTTTGTGATCTCACCAGTGGCTGTCCTTCCAAAAATATTGATATGGCATTTTGGAAGGACTGTTGCTTGTTCCCTGGCTTTAAAAACAATCTGTGTTTCAGAAATGTGCAGTTGGGCCCATAATTTTTATTATTTTTGTTGCTTTTTCACAAGTATACTCTTTTGGATCTCTGATATGTATAGTCTTTGCTGGTCAATTTCCTTGCCTATTTCAGGTGTCAAATGATGAAAATGGAGAGTAAAAGCTGAGGGAGTAAGTGCACAGAAAGACTGTGCGGGCAGGGAAGGTTGAGAATTTTTTCCCCTTAGTGATGTGATCCTCTTGGTTTTAAGTGTTGAACTGACACTTCAATTGCCCTCTACCCTTTCAGAACTTTCAAAATACTCTAGCTATGCCAGAAATTTGAGATACTAACTGTTTAGCTTTTTGTGGCTCATTTTTGGAGATCCTTACTGTGGTTCCCTTAGCAATTTTTAAAAATACCCTTAAAAGGAAGCTGCATGGGTTGAAGTGAATACAGCCCCCTTGAGTGGGGGAAGGTGTAAGTAAATATGCCACCCATATTGGTGCATCTCATTTTGCTACCTCAGTGGATTAAAAGAAAAACCAGTTGCAAGTATCTGTGATTTTTTTTTAAACTGAGAAGAAAATGGAAGGAAATGTACACAAATGTAATGGCTTTGAAAGTAAATGGAGGGGAAATTTGGAACAGCTTATGCAGGTGTGTAACTTTTCTCTCTATTTACTTCCCACCATCAAGTTTGTGGATATTTGTTTGGGTTTAAAAAAAAAACAACCTGTCGGGGAACTTTAGTAAGTAAAACAATTCCAGCCAGGAGGTCAGGCTCTAGAAAGGAGCAAAAGCTTGGTCAGGTGAGATCTTCTCTAGTAAGGCAAGTTGTTATATAGGCTAGGGCAGTGGTGGCGAACCTATGGTACGCGTGCCACAACAGGCGCACACAGCCATCTCTGTTGGCATGCAAGCCAAGTCGCCCCGGCATCGCCCCGGCATCGCCCCAGCAGCTGAGCATCAGATAACAGCGCACATGGGGGCCATGCACATGCTCGGAAAGGAGTAGCGGCACCAGGCAATGATGTCACAAGCCGCGACTCATTAGCTGCGACTCGTGCAAGCTTTCGCATGGCCGGTCAGTGCACAGTGCTGCCAAGGGTGTGTGTGTGTGTGTGTATTTGCTTGGAGTGGCTGTGAGTTGTTTTTTCTAAACTACAACCTCATTTTTCAGGTTTTATTGTAGTGTTTGCACTTTGCGATAAATAAGTGGGGTTTAGGTTACAGTTTGGGCACTCGATCTCCAAAAGGTTCACCATTATTGGGTTAAGCTTAGAAAAATTAAGTGTCCTGGCATGATTTTGATGGTTGGAGTGTGTTTAGAATGGGCAGAAATGTTGAGCTGTGCAGAAAAATCTACTCAAGGAAGGCTTTTTCAAAATCGCCCTCTTTTCTATGGTATAAAGGGTTAGGGGAGTGCACCAGGATAGGGTTAGTCCAATGGTGGCGAACCTATGGCACGCATGCCACAGCGGGCAAGCAGAGCCCTCTCTTTCTGTATGTGAGTCAAGCCGCCCCAGCATCACCCCAGCAGTCAAGCGTCAGGTAACAGCACACATAGGGGCCATGCGCATGCTTGGCAAGGAGTAGCGGCACCAGGTGATGATGTCACAAGCCGCGACTCATTAGCTGCGACTTGTCTGAGCTTTCGCATGGCCAGTCAGTGCATTATGAAGGAGATATATATATATTTGCTTGAACTGACTGTGAGGTGTTTTTTCTAAACTAAAACCTCAGTTTTCAGGTTTTATTGTAGTGTTGGCTCTTTGGAAAAAAATAAGTGGGTTTTGGGTTGCAGTTTGGGCACTCTGTCTCTAAAAGGTTTGCCATCCCTGGGCTAGGGCTTTATAGTGCCTGATAGACAGAAATTGAATCTTTGTTGTAGGCTTCTGAAGTATTCAGCAAGATGAGAAAACTTGTACTACAATCTAGACTGTCTCTTTGAGGCAGAGAGCTCACTCAGCCAGCCTGTGGTTGACACACAGCATATATGGTACAGCCAGGTGACATGATGCTGGCTCCTGGCTACTGGAAGCCCTGTTTTAAGACCAATACAGGTTGCCCCTGTTGATTGTACTTGTGGTCTCCTGCTATTTATTACTTGTTTTTCTTCCTCTTATTTGGCTTATTAATTTCATAGGTTTCCTGGAGAGTAAGAGCACAAGCTGTATTCGGATCTTTACTGACCTGGTGAAGAGTTGTACCACTGACCCTACACTGGATGCAGCTTCATACTACCATCATTTCAGTGTGCTGAAGGTGTCATATCACTCGTCTCCAGTGGACTGTATTATCTTGCTCTTCTGGTGTAATATTGACCATCTTTTCTAGTGCAGCTCTTTTGGTGCTGCCTCTCCAATGTAGAATTGATTTTTAAAAGCCTTCTCTTTCCTTTTTAATAACTTGAAAATGTTGAGGAAACAGTTGGAATTCATGCTGGACAGCTTCAGACATTAATAAGATTTGGCCTTATGGAAAAGGATGGCAATTCCTAAATAATGCCTGCATGAGGCAACATTGTAATAAATGTTGTCACACTGAGATAAAAGCTTTGCAAATTGTATGTTTCTGTACAGACACCAAAGCATATCTGGCTTTTCCCTTACAGGTTCCAGTCAACATGACTATTTTTCAACCCTTACAGGTGAGGTTATGTCAATAATAGTAATTCCTTTTCTTCCTGAGTTATGAGGATCCCCCTCCCCCCCGAAGTTGCATGTAGTTCTTTATGAAGTTTGTGTCTCAAAAGGATCACTAGAAGAAATAACGCAGTAAATTGACTGGGTGGGAAGCAGGGTTCTAAATATATGCAAATAGATGTGGTTTGGATGTTGGTTTGCATATGCATTGCTGTGATTTTGCAGTAGACTTGAATCAAAACAGGCAGAAATATCAGGCTGCAAGCAGGGGAGCAGTTGTGGGCACTGTATGTGCAATATGGATACAAGCTGGGAATTCTGGGCTTTAGTATGGTTATGAAAAGATGTGGGGTCAAAATGATTTTTGAAAATTGAAAATCTGCTTTGGTGTCCCCAGGTAAACATAATCCCTGTTTCAGAACCTGCATCACCTTCACTGAATGGCAGGACCTGCCACAACATTGTTTCTGAGGTACCTCATTAGGTCAGCAAATGCTCCCCTTGTTAGTAGAGGAGAGTGCAGATGGGACAAGGTCTGTCCCAAGTTCATGCCCTGCCTGCCACTGACTGGCATGTCATGTTTCTAGGTGGTATATCAGGTGGAGTTCAATGGGACCCATGGAATTCAGAAGGTTTCCGTCCAGTTCAAACTGGTCAGTATATCTGGGAACCCAGGAGTCACACTGCAGCAACACTTTTCTCTGCATTTTGGGGTCAGTATCTATTCTTTCATGCTTCCTTATACTGGGGAGTAGTGTCAAAGTTGGGGCTGGTGGGTACAGATGGATCTTTTTGTTCCTTGTGCTTTGTCTAGTGAGAGAAAAAGTCCGCATCATTGTGGGCCTTGCTGTATTGATGGTACGGAAATGAGCTGGCTGCTCATAATTCAGAAGAGGCTTCTGAGAGGGTCATTTCATACACATTTTAACCATATGTGCTTAGAGAAAGGATTGAGTGTATGCTGTGGAAGAAATGTTATGGAGATGGTGGAAGCCTATGTTCTTTTCAAGCTCTCTTATCTTTTCTTACAATTGTTTTCTTCTAATGGCTGCCACTTTCATGGAGGGATTCCTAACTGGACAGTATTCTTCCATTGCATTCATTCATCTGTCTGGTAAATGAATGCAGGAGCAGCTGCATTTCAGCATTTGTGTTGCTGCCTCTAGGCTAATGTATAGTATTTGAATGCACTGTTGTAAAAATGAGTGTATCTTAATGGTTAGAGTGCTGGACTGAGATTTAGGAGACTTGGGTTCCAGTCCCCTCTCAGCAAGGAAACCCACTGAGTAACTTTGGGCCAGTCACAGACTCTCAGCCTAATCTATCTCATAGACCTGTTGTGAGGAGAAAATGGAGAAGAGGTGTAAGCTGCCTTGAGTTCTTTGCAAGAAGAAAGGCAGGGAATTCATGTAATGATAATATTGTCAGAGTTTCAGCAGCAAAAGTTTGGGCATTTGTTGGCTTTGGTATTAGTGGACTCAGTACCTATATCTCTGGCATATTAATTGTGTTACTAATTATTACATTTCAGCATTATGTAGAGGATAATATCATATGGTTGGCATCATTCCCCCCCACCCCATTTGTCTCTTGCAGAGTAGGATCCCTTCTTTCACCAAACGGAGAAGTGGAAATCCTGGCTATATCATGGGAGCACCACTAATAGCTCTCCACAATGGCAGCCAGCAGCCTGTATCCTTCTTAGTACAGTGTTTGTTTTCAATATGTCTAGGGCCCTGATCAACACCTGATTCCATTTTGTGACTAGGGACACAACAGGATCACTGACAGAAGTGACAAAGAACCCCCTAGGGCTGACTGGAAACCTATTTGATCTGGAAGTCTTCGGTGGGTGGACCATTCTAATGGGTCCATCATTTCTACAGGGTACAAAAAGGGGCTGTGGTCTTAGGCTTGCCTAGGTAATGATCTGACCAAGTCAAGACTGAGGGTGCAGAAACCTCAGTCTTCAAAACCATCTGTTTACTGCTGAATATATCAAGTGTGCACCTGGCAGAATGTGTGGGTCCAGAGACCAACTTGGACAGGCCCATGGCTATCATGGTTGACATGAATTCCTGGGCAGCAACAGACACAAACTGGACTCAAAAGCAACATTGAAATCCCCCAGGATTAACAGTCTGGGGGAATCTGAGACCAGTTCTGTGAGTTTGGCCAGAGATTCTGTTAGGCAACATGGTGGTCTATATTTGATCGCTGGCAGAAGTGACAACCCCCCACCCCACACACACACACCTTTGAATACACACACTCAATGTATTTCAGCTCCTTAATAGGATAGATCGAGCCAGCCAGTAGTAGACAGGGCCCAAAGCAAGTGGGTAACCCCTTTTCTCATTCTATAACTATTTTCTCTTTCTTTCTGCTCTTCTTCCTTCTCACACAGTTACTCGCCAAGAAAGGGACAAATTGCTTCTTCCAGAGGACTTCTGAAATTTTCCCAGGGGTCATAGGTTGCCCACCCAGTTGACAGTTGTATGTTACAGAGATCTTAGTGATATGCCCTAAGAAAACCAAATGAAGGGTTTTGATTTCTCCTTGTGCTGTATTTTGGATTACTGAATGTTTGTAAGGAAGTGACACTGTCCTGTGAGAGCCAAGCCTAGAATTAATGTTCAAAGCTCAAGCAACAGTTTCCCATTTTAACCTGCAAATGAGACTAAGAAAGCTCACTTTTCTTCCTTTTTCAGTCCTTATCTGCAGTGAGGAAAAATAGCTATACTGTGTTGCTAGGTCAACTGATCTCAGTTCTTTATTAAAAGCTTTTCTAAATGATGCTTATGCACTCATGATTCCTTACTTTCTATGCCTGGATTTTTTCTTCTCTTTTGAGGTCTACATACTTTTAGCCATCCAATAACTGCAGTTCAGTGGGTGATATGCAAATCAAGTCTATTGCTGCATCTTTCTGTTTTTTCAGTTTTTGAGCCCACTGGAAAAATCATGTGGCTGTCACCATTCATAGAATCATAGAACAATACAGTTGAAAGGGCCAGAGGGCCGTCAGGTCCAACCCTGTGCTCAGTGCAGGACTCCCAAGTTAAACCATCCCTTTCAGATGACTGTCCAGTTGCATCTTGAAAGCCTCTAGTGTGGGAGAGCCTACAACCTCCCTAGGAAATTGGTTCCATTGTTGTGCTGGTCTTCCTCTTTGTGGCAGACTTACTAACATATTTCCCTTTAGTCTTGTCTTCTGGAGGCTAAACATGCCCAGTGCTTTCACACTCTCATAGGGCTTCATTTGTGGTCCCTGTTCATAACTGTTGCTATTAGGTGAGGATGGGACCAGCACTGCAGAATGTGAAGCTCCCTCTTAATTATGTTATGGAGTACCAGATTAATATAAACTTCTAGAGGAATGGCTGTGTTAGCTTGTTGCAGAAAAAACAATAGGCTCCTGGCACCTTATAGACTAACAGACCTACTATGGCACAAGCTGTCATAAACTAGAGTTGAGCTGATCAGATCATGAAGTGTTATTCAAGAGGGATGCACACGCATATGGGGGTGGGGGAGTGTAGAGTGAAGTACAGGTAGTACTGTCTGTGACAATTCAATTAAAGCTTGATAGTAGGCAAAATAAGCAAAGTAATTATTCACAGCAGATAAGTATGAAGAGCCTGGTTAGTTTATTAAGATGTTGCCAATGAGATGGAACCAACAAGGAATTATAAGTATGTCAGGTTTGTGCATGGGAAATGCTATTTCTTAAATGTCCTGATACAGTGCCTAAAATTGACCAACTGACAGTGCTGTTCTTTTTTACTTCTTACGTGTGACACTTAATCAGCAGCAGAGAACTCTCTTTAATGGGACAAAGCATTGTGGAGTATTTCATATTTGCGCTTCTTTCAGTCATGGAGGCTAAAATAGTGGGGGACTTGGGTTTTTTTCTTCATTGAACTAAAACAGGTTATCTTAACTAATACCTACTCCAGACCCCTAGGAAAAGAGATGTTTTAAAAAAATCAATATGTATAGAAGCTAAAATACTGTTGCTGCAGTTATTTTCTCTCCACAAAACTTAAGAGTGGCTAGTTTTCTTCTTGACACTGCTCTTTCCTCAGGTAACCGTTTTACAGAATCAGGACAATGGCCAGTGTTCAGTAACCGAGAGGTACAAAGTACGGTTTGGAGAGAATATGATAACAGTCTGCCAGTTCAGGTAATGCTCTTCATATCCTCTTACGTGTTTGCACACTTGTTCAGGGTTCACAGTTAAATATAACAAAGCAGGATTGTTTCCTGTTTAGTGCATGAACTAATTAATTTTGCAAGGGTTTATTTTCTTGTTCCCCATTGCAAGTTGTGCCTTCATTACATCCTGATTTATTAATATTCCACAAAGGTTCAACTTCTGTAATGTTTGGGATTCATTCACTTGAATTCTGAATGTCTTTAGCTCAGGACAGCATCTTAGTGTCCTCATTTTGTGCTTTTCTTGCCCCATTTTCTCAATGCATAAATGAAATAACTTGTAAAACCTTTGTTTTAAAAGAATTTAATATAGCAAGGCCAATTAAATGTCACTGCTATTTCATGTGTTTCTGTATGATTTAGGTTACCCTGAAACAACATACACATGTACTCTCTCTGTTCTGTCTTGGTTACAGTGTACCCTTTAAGCTGCAGGAAGCAAACTGTACACATCTGCAGGAACTGCTATATGAAGTCTTCCAGGGAGGACAGAGCCCAGGGAGCTTGGCAATAACTGGTAATGCTGTCTCAGGCCATCCTGGAGAATGGAACAGCATCTTCACCCACAGATGCCACATCCAGGTAACACAGAAAGACAGCAGGCTGCTATGTCTCTGGCTTCCCCTTGTAAGCTGTCCCACAGCATGTGAAGGATAAGATGATAACATTTACTCTTTAGGAGAACTCTTTCTTTCAGCTTTGTGAAGCAGGAGCATATTGTGTTTTGCCAAGGCCAGTAGCACATGTATAATTCCTACTGCACCCATAAAAATGTCTTAACTGGGCCAAATGCCCTGCTCTATTTTCTGTTGTTCCTCCCAATTGAAGGAGAACTGCTGATTTCACATTCTGAATCCCCATGTATACCAACTGTCTCTTCCCATTTTCCTCAGTGGTTAGACACAGATGCTGAAATAATCATGGATCTTCTTTTTACCACAGTTAATCTGTTAATTACCCAACAGAATTACTGCTCTTTGAGATTACTCTTACTTAATTTTTAAATTTCTCTATAGGGCATTGACTGTATGGTTCCCTTGTCCCTGGAGATTCAGGTGATTTGGGCCCACGTGGGCCTCCTGTCTAACCCAGAAATTCAAGTGTTAGGAGGACGGTACTATTATCGCTGCAAGCCTCGAAAGGTTTGTTTTCTTAGTTGCTTTGGACCTGTCTAGATAGAATATAAAATGTACTGCATACATGAGCCACAATGAGTCTTAGCTAGAATATAAAATGTACTGCATACATGAGCCACAATGAGTCTTAGCTACTTCAATTCCCCTCTCTTCTGTGTGCTGGAGGAGGAGATCAAAAGCTTTTATTGTGTCTTAAAACTAAACAAAATTTGCTGTTACATCCAAACTCAAGAACTCTGGTTTGTTTAAACTTTTGTTAGTTTAAAATGTGCTTTATGATCCTGGCTTGATTGCTTACAGTTTTAAGTAACAAGAGAGCCCTGGGTTTAGATGCAATAAGGAACTGTGATTAGATTTAAAGCTGGAAGTGGATGGTTCCTGTCACCCTCTCTAATACATGCCAGAGGAGGAAATGGGAAGAAAGAGAATGCAAGCCCAAGGTTTGATGTGGCTTATGCATATAACACTCAGGCATGGTTTACCATCACACAACTTCCTCATTTAGCTCACTCCTATTTTTAAAGTGTTTAAAAAGGAAAAACAATCACAATGGCAAATCAGAAATCCTACTACTTAACTAGCATTTTAGGAAAACATTGGGGAGAAAAATGGAGGAATCTACTTAAGTCTAGAGGAGATCTTGGGGAAGATGAATATAACTCTTATCTATGGTATGTAACTTAATCTGCTTAGACCAAAAGTTCTATACTTCAAGAGCTTTGTTCTTCATTTAGTAAAGTACCATCAATTGCCACTGTAATGCTCATGAGGGAAGCAAGTAGCTTTCAGACTCACAGCTAATGGAAACAAAACAGAGGATAGAAGAATTTTGCAAATGCATGTCAGAATGTTTTGGCTAAGGTATGGGGGGATATTAATTATGCTCTGCCTACTTTCCTTCTGCAAATTCCCGCTTCTCCAGAGAGGACAATTTTATTAGTGGGAAGGTGATAGCAAGGAAAATAAATAGTTTTCAGTTTTCTTTGTTGTAAAGTAGCTTGTGCCACCATTCTGAGCAATAGCAAGGAATAATATTCATGACACGCCACTTCTTTTAATGTACCGTCTCCCTATGCAACTGTCTCAGGACTCTCTTTTTCTAAACTAAAAGAAATTAAAGTTTTGATTTATGGTCAGCTAAGAGGAAAGTGGAGAAATTTTCTCCTACATTTCTCTCCACTGTTGTTCCCAACTGCCCCAAAGCTTGGATATAAGAGAAGAACTAAAACAAAATTCTGTGAGACATGATATTTTGTGTTTTTTTCCTTCCAGTCCCTTGGCATATATACAAACGTTTTGTCTTTGACAACTGCGGCTTCCTTCACAGATGTTACCAAAAGGCCAGAGCCGCCACGTGGTCAGCCCAGAGTCTACTGGAAACTTCCATATGATTTCTTCTTTCCTTTTAAAATGGCATTGAGTGGGGCTGTGAGCAGCTCAGGCAGCCTGGCTGGTACTCTGTTAGTGTCCTTGATGTTTCTCAAACTACACATCTCATGAACCAAAGGGACATCTTGCTATCAGGAGAATTAAGATCATAGAGCCTTGCTATGATGTTACCAAGAATCAGCTGCCGTCTTCCACGGTGAAGGAGTGTGCAAAACTGTCTGCACTACTAATGGAGGGAGAAGAGCAGAATCTGCGTGTCAAGTGAACTGACACAAGCTAACAGCCATGGTGAGCTGGTCACACACATATATGACAATAAGCCGTCTTGAGGCTTTTGCAAAGGACAGCATATAAATATCCCAAATAAATAAATAAACAATTGGGCATGCAACCCATGATAGTAAATGCTTTTGCCTTAAGGGAGGTGCCATATTTGAAGTGCCCGCCCACCCAAAAAGAAGAGTAGGAAGAATTTTGTAATTTCCATTCTCTTTTGCCTTCTCTTTTGTTAGTGGGAAGCTTGGGACATTTGGTAATGAAATTATTTATCTTTAGGGGTTATCCTTAAAAACTGATACTGTTCCAATAATCATGCCCTTGTGTCATTAGTTCCTAAAGCACGAGTTCTTTGCCTTTACCTTACTGCCCATGATAGGCTGTAGCCTTTCCTAGAGGAGTTCAAACTGGGACATGATTACTGAACAATGAACCTCTCTGTGATACCTGAGGCTGCTGATTTAGTTGTTCTGGTGTTGGATTTGACAGGACTTAAATGCTCAAGAGTAAATTCTCAAGCGTATCGTATAAATTTAAGTATATAGTAAGAACTGGGCTTTAGTTTTATATGTGCTACAATCTATACTCTATAGAGATTTCCCCCCTAATATGTTACACTGTTAAAAAGCCTTAATAATGAAATCCAATACCTAAAAATTGTAAAATTATGAAAGCATGTGTCTTGGGTCATCCTGTTACAAATACACATCTCTCTGACACTAATGTAGTATAAATAGAATGCCTATCCTACTTCTTCAAACTATGCTATAATTCCCAAACCCCAGCATGTTTTCTTTCAGTCATGTTACTTTGTGTTTCTCTAGGCCTAAGTAATTGGAGTAGGCCTGTCCTAATGTATGGATTGCATCATAGCATTCCCCTGGAATGGAAAAGGATCCAAGTTCTTCTCCAGTATTTGGAATCATATACACATATTTGTTGTCACACAACCATCATCTTAAAAACTGCCCTGACAAGATGAGGGACTTGCTATCTTGAAGTAACAGGATTAATGCCTCTGTACATATGAAGTCTTCTAGCTTGAGGTATACTGCAAGCCAATAGTGGACTTCTACTACTGTAGGCCTTGCAAGACCATGAAAGTAAGAGCAAGTCCCTGTAGGGCAGCCTTCTGTAACCTGGTGCTGTCCACATGTGTTGGACTGTAATTTTCATCATCCCTGCTTCACTGGGTGTGTCCGCCCTATTTTTCTTATGAAATTTTACCAAATATATCACTTTTCTGGAAGATACATGTAAGGTAGAAGAAACATTTGAAAAGGACAAGTCAAAATATGACTACCAGCCAAAGCTATTGGGTAACCATTGTTGATACCAATTGATTTATCCATTATGATAATATGGTCCAGATAACTTGGGCTTTCATAGCCATCTTTTCAAAAACCTTCTAATGATAGGGACTGGTTTTAGCATGACTGACATGGCTTCTTTATTTTGTGTATACTTTTGTAAACATTTCAATTTAAATGCTTTAAAAATTAATGCTATTTTTATTATAACAGTTTATAAGAAGGCTATATTTTTTTACACAAAAGCAATGTTTACAGAATTTAAATTTTGTACATTTCATTGCTCAATTACTTCTGTATGTAAGGGAGTTTCTATGAATGAAGTATATTCCCTTTTTAAGAACATATATTTTGTTCAAGGTATGTCCTTCCCTGCCTTTTGATGAGATTTATAGTAACTGCTGGGAAGTTGTGTCCACATGTTTAGTTCAAGGTTAGAGTTAGTTCTACAAACCTTAGTTTTGAAATGAATCTATCTCAAACTTTGTTTAACAAAAGCTCCATAATGCTCTTTTTGTCATTGTGCATTAAACCTAAAAAACTCATTCTGTCTCCCTCATTTACTCTTTTATTTGTACGTGTATTCCTTGAGTTGACATTCAAGTATATTTAACTGGTTTGCTGCATATTAGCTATATGTAGTCTAAAGTAAGTCCAGTTTAACTATAATTTGCTTCTAAGGGATGGTACTCAGGATTGCAGTGCTAGTTCTGTGCCATTCCATGCATTTTATTTTTATGGTTTGTGTTTCTTGGTCTCATTTCTGTGGTGCACAAATCTGAGTTCTGCTTGTGAGGGACACATGATTCCGGTGTGTGGCCCTGTTGTAAACTACATTTTACCTGTCTGGATTTAGGCTACATGGAGCACATAATAGCAAAGTCCATCTTTGTTGACTTTATCAGTTTAAGCATGAGGCCAACTCCTGCATGGATAGCCTTTAGGAACAGACTGTTTCCTGACCTGCCTCTGCTGTCTCAAAAGAAGCTTGCTTCTTGAGTTCCTTTTTTCCTTCTCTCTGAAAATAAACCAGTCTTCTGATAAAACAATATGATAATAGCTGTTTAAAGTACAGTTCATAGGTCCAAACTGTCCTTCTGTCTTCTTGCTTGGGGGACAAGTGCAGACCACTAAGTAAAGTATACCGCATGCCTTCAAACACTTGCAGCTTAAAAGGGGCTGTCCCTTCATTTGTTTCAAATAACGTTGGGACTAGTTTTGTGGAAGAAAAACAGGTGGACATGGCATTATGTTCTTGTTAGCCAATAGATTCAGCTGCATGATCCTTCTGTAGTGAGCAAAGGTCTTAAGCGCTACTTTATTCCATTCTCTAAGCAAGCTTCCCCCAGTTATCGGTGCACATCCAGAAACAAAAAAGTGATCCTTGTGCCACTGCTTAGGACACTCAGGTGAAACAATTCCTTTTCTGTTCCACCTCAGTACTGGTTCAAAATATGTAATGTTTTAACATTTTTAATTTAAACACACATCCCATTTTGAAATGTATAAATTAATTCTTCGTCGTGGCCTCTGTGCATCACACATATGGGTACTGTGCCTGCGCAGTGCCTGTGGCTGGAAGATTGATAGCTAACGGTTTTTGGAGGGAAGCTCCGCTCCCCCTCCCCCTCCCCCCTGTGGCCTTTAAAGAGCAGAACGTCCGCCATTTTGTTCAGTCTTTGCGACCGCCGTTCGCTGTGCCTCGTGCCGCTTTCGACTTTCGCTTCGACTATTACCTCATTCTCGAATTGTCCTCTTATCCTAGTTTTTTCCTCTCCTTGCTCCCAGCTTATTATTCTGTGTAGCTTTTCTCTCGTTATTTCTTCTTTCAATCTATCAAAAAAAATAAAAAACAAAAATATATACTTATCCTCTTCACTCTCTCTCTTTTTCTTCCTCTTCTTCTGCAATGGCGCAGCGAGCGGCTTTCCGCAAATGCGCGGCTTGCAGGTCAAAAATGGCACCAACTGACCCACATGACCTATGTCTCCTCTGCCTGGGAGAGGGGCATAGGATGGATAAATGCGTGCATTGCCTGGCCTTCTCCAAGCAGGCCAGGAAGAACTGCGAAAACCGGCTTCGGAGGCTCCTTTGGGATCGGGCTCTGATGCAATCAGACCCACTCGTTGCCGTCCCAAAACCTGGCTCCGCTTCTGTGGCCCCACCCTCACGGCCTTCGGACGAAGGTGCATCTGCTTCAGTGGCCCCCTCTGCTTCACCTAAAAAGAAGCATGAAAAGCGGAAGCACGCCGAAGAGAAGTCGGCAGGCCATAAGAAGTCCAGAAAGGAGAAGGTCTCCAAGCCTCCAAAAAAGTCTGAGACCTTGGACCATCCGGACCGTCCCTGACATCGGAATTCAGAACCGATGGGACCCTCGGCACCAGTGGCAGTTACGGTACCGACCCCGCCCGAACCGGTCCTCCAGGAGGCTATGCGGGTTACCCCTCAAGGGTCTCCCCGCCGTTCGGTTGACCTCCCACCTGTACCCCTTCCAACTCTACGGGATTCAATTTCCGATGGGGAAATCCAGGACTCCCCTCCTAGGGTGGGGTCACCGACACCCATGCCCGCGGTGACGATGGAAACGGACGTTGGCCTGTCTCCACCAGGGAGCCGGAGGAGCTGCTCGGTAGAGCAATGCCCGGAGAGTTGGCGTCGCCCTTATTACCATATTTGGGGCAATCCGCACTCTGTAGGGTACTACCCTGCTCCCAGGGCACGATCATCCCCTCCACCCCGTGACCAACTGCAATCAGTGGATTCGAGGCGGGTGCCACCTTGATCCCCACAAAGTGGAAGCAGACGCTCTTTCTCGCCGGCAGAGTCATCATCTTCAGCCCCACCCTACTACGGTGCCGATTCGGCTCACTCGGAGGTCGACTCAACCTCCCCGGACATCGCTGTGACATCCCAGTGTCCTGCGTCACCCGACGAGTCCCATGTCTCCTTCGCGGAGCTGATGTCGAGACTTGTCCAGTCCCTGGACATTGACGCTGCCCAGCACTCAAGACCATCGACGGACAAGTTTTACGACATCGTCCGCGGGGAGCAATCGACATCTATCGTTCTGCCGCTCATAACCACCTTGCAGCAGGCAATGACGCAGCCCTGGGACCTGCCATCACATCCTCAGCTGACGTCCAGGAGGTATGAGTCGATGTACAGGGTTCAGGAAGAGGATATTCCCTTCCTCCTCAAACACCCGAAACCGAACTCTGCGGTCATCGAATCCTCGCAGGGCAGAGAGGCGAGAGGACACACGGCACCGAGAGGGCCGAAAAATAGACTCCCTGGCCAGGTGAGTCTATGCTACTTCGGGCTTGGGGCTTCGCATATCAAATTATGAGGCGATGTTGGCGAGATATCAATATTTTATTATGCAGCGCCTCCACAACATCGCCTCCACCCTCCCAGACCACCAGGGTGATCTCGCGAAGGTCCTGATCAAGGAAGCCATGCAGGTCACGGTGCAGCAGTTATCCACGGCAAGGCACCACGTGGATATTGACTCCCGGGCCTTGGTTGGTGCCGTTTCTCTTCAGAGGCATGCATGGCTCCGGAATTGTAATTTCCCGGAAGAAACCAAGCGGCAGATAGAGGAAATGCCTTTCGATGGATCCGGGCTTTTCCATTCTCGAACCGACCATAAGCTCAAGAAGCTCCATGAATCGAGGAGCTCCATGACGGCACACAGGATGGAGATCCAGTCTCACTCCAGACGTAAGTGGTCCTGGAATTGTCCATCCTACAGGCAATCCTATCAACCGAGGCAGCAGCCTCAACACCACCAGCAACAACAACAGCAGTGCCGCCGTCCTCAGCCCCAACAGCATTTTCAGCAGGGCCGCCGTTGTTTTGACGATTGGAGGCAACACTGACGGGACTGGCAAACCATTCCTCGCACTCCTTCAATACCCACCCCCCTCTCATTTGGGGATTGGCTTCGAAGCCGACTCCCCATTTGGGAGTCCATCACATCTGACCGGTGGGTATTATCCATTGTTCAACACGGCTATCGAATAGAATTTGACATCATTCCTCCATCAAGTCCAATCCGGTCTACTGTATGCTCACCAGTACTCCTCGACGAAATATGTCAACTCTTCGTAAAGGAGCGATTCGTCAAGTATTTCCATCTGACGGACTTCACGGATTGTATTCCAGATACTTCACGGTCCCTAAGCAGGATGGTGGTCTATGTCCGATTTTGGATCTACGGAACTTAAATACGTTTATTGTACCGAGAAGGTTTCGTATGACTACCCTTCAAAACATTTTGCCGTTGTTAAGGAGAGAGGATTGGTTCGCCTCACTGGACTTGAAGGACGCCTACTTCCAATTCACCCAAATTACAGGCGTTTCCTTCGTTTTGCGATTGCAAGCCAACTTTATGAGCTCACAGTTTTACCTTTTGGACTGGCTACGGCTCCGAGAGTTTTTATCAAGTGCATGGCTCCTGTCTGTGCTTTCCTACACCTTCAGGGCATACAAATTTATCCGTACCTCGATGACTGGCTGTTGGTCTCACAGTCCAGAGAAGGACTCTTGGCGGCCATCCATAAGACCTGTGCCTTACTAGACGACCTAGGCCTACGTATTAATTCAGAGAAATCTTCTCTTCTTCCGACACAGACGCTCACCTTCATCTGAGCCCGCTTGGATTCGACGTTGGAGAAAGCTTTCCTCCCGCAAGACAGACAGCAGACCCTTGCTCGCCTTATCCATCGAATCCGACGAGAGGGAACGGTCACGGCGAGGTCTATCCAGAGGGTCCTGGGACATATGGCGTCCTCAGTTGCCGTGGTTCCACATGCCAGACTTCGGCTTCGCCCACTACAACTATTTTTCAACAGGGTGTATCACCTTCAAAGAGAGCCACAGTCCAAACTGATTCGGATCCCATCTTCCGTGCTCCACTCTCTGCACTGGTGGCTGAAACCGACCAATCTTACGCTAGGAGTCCCCTTCAGGGTGCGACCTCCTACGATAACCCTTGGCACCGACGCGTCTCTCCTAGGATGGGGAGCGATATGCTCTGGCCTATCTACCCAGGGTACGTGGAATCGTCTAGAATCCACGAATCATATCAACTTCCTGGAGCTACTGGCAGTCTTCAAGGCCCTTCGTTCTTTCAAGGACCTCCTTCATCATCAGATCGTTCAGATAACGTCGGACAATATAGCGACCGTCTTTTATCTGAACAAACAAGGAGGGACGAAGTCACCAACTCTAGCCAGACTCTCAATGGAAATTTGGGACTGGTGCATTCAGAGACACATCGCGCTGATGGCTGTTCATGTGGCTGGCATAGACAACGTGCACGCAGACCTTCTCAGCAGGCACATGTTCACCTCTCACGAGTGGAAACTGGACCTTCATACACGCAACCACCTTTTCAGGCGCTGGGGGTTCCCCGATGTGGACTTACTCGCTACCCAACAGAACAGGGTGTGTGAGGCTTACTGTTCGAGAGCGGGAATCGGACACGCATCCCTAGGGGATGCATTCATGATCCCTTGGAAAAACATGCATTTCTATGCCTTCCCTCCGATCCCTCTTCTGATGAAGGTCATAGCAAAGATCGTGCACGACCGGGCATCAGGGATACTAGTTGCCCCTTGGTGGCCACGTCAAGCGTGGTTTGCAAAACTACTTGACATCTCTCGCAGGGAATTTCTTCATCTTCCATCGCTCCCATATCTTATAACACAGGTGGATGGCACACTTCGCCACCCGGACTTGCTCTCATTGAACCTAACAGCGTGGCGAATTCTGTGATTGACGTTCCATCGATGCCGATGATGGTTTTGAGAGTTACGAATCCGACAGCTTCTACTAATCTATCGGTACCGACGATGACTTCGACCACCTCGGATCCAATTGTTGAATCCAATCACTCGGGTGCTTCCCTTTTCTCTGATCTCTCTGCACCATCCAGTTCGAGACAAGACAATTCGAATCCGATGTTTTTGCACCCTGATATTCAGCATATCATTGACTCTGCCTTAAAGCCGTCCACAAGGAAGTCATATAAGGCTAAATGGAAACGGTTTTCCACCTTTGCCGAGTCGCGTTCGTTCTTCCCATTCCTCTCATCTATTGAACAAATTCTTCAGTTCCTCCTGGAATTGCACCATTCTGGATTGAAGCCGTCGTCCATTAAAGTTTATACAGCTGCGATAGCCTACCACCATGGATTAGTCGACGGATCACCTCTGTTTTCTCATCCTATCCTCAAGAGAATTTTGAGGGGACTATATAATCTTAACCCATCAGTTAGACCTGTTATGCCCACATGGAGCCTTTCTGTAGTTCTGCAGGCCCTTATGAAGGCCCCCTTTGAACCTTTAGCGACGGTGGATCTGCAATTGGTTTCTTGGAAGACGGCGTTTCTTGTAGCTGTCACTTCAGCCCGGAGGGCCAGTGAACTTTGCGCTCTTCGAATAGACACTCCTTATCTAAACTTTCACAGAGAGAAGGTCGTTTTATGCCTCGACCCGTCTTTTTTACCCAAAGTGTCTACAGTTTTCCATACAGGACAAGACATTGTGCTGCCTGCTTTTTTCCCATCACCGTCAACCCCTTTGGAAAGATTGTTGCACTCACTTGATGTTCACCGTTTCTATTCGACGATCCAGTAAGCTATTCATCAAATATTCTACTAGGGATCAGGGCGATCCAGTCACTCCACAAAGACTTTCTAAGTGGATAGTCCACACTATTGTCTTGTGCTATCAGTTAGCTAAGCTCGAACTGCCTTCAGTTCCCCGAGGCCATTCTACTAGAGCTGTTGCAACCTCGTCTGTGTTCGCATTGGGGGTCTCGATTGATGACGTCTGCCGAGCCGCTACTTGGGCGAACCCTTGCACCTTTGCCAGGCACTACCATCTCGATGTTCGAGCTCAACGGGACTGCTCCTTCGGTAGAGCTGTACTCTCCTCTGTTCTTCACTGAGGACACCTTCCCTCCTTGATGGTAAGCTTGTTAATCTACCCATATGTGTGATGCACAGAGGCCACGACGAAGAAAAGCAGGTTGTTTGCCTGTAACTGATGTTCTTCGACTGGCCATCTGTGCAGTCACACAACCCACCTGCCAGCCCCGCTCGGTGTCGGTGAGTGGACGCATCGACAGCTCGGTGTCGATGAGAAAGGCATCTTCGGTACTGACCATCCCCCTTTTTTACGGTACTGACACACACACACAAAAAAAGATTTAAAATTATTAAGATATCATATGTTCGGTCGCAAAGACTGAACAAAATGGCGGATGCTCCACTCTTTATAGGCCACAGTGGGGAGGGGGAGCGGAGCTTTCCACCAAAAACCGTTAGCTATCAATCTTCTGGCCACAGGCACTGCGCAGGCGCAGTACCCATATGTGTGACTGCACAGATGGCCACTCGAAGATCAGTTACAGGTAAGCAACCTGCTTTTTTTAACAGCACGTGGAGGCATAGTTGGCTGCATATCAGATTTATGACTAAGGATGTGAATTTGGATCTTACACCCACAAAACTAATCCCATTTCATGTTGTACTGCTACTCCATTTCACACTGTACGAGAGATGTACAGGTAGAAGACAATACACTTTTTGTGATGAATTCCTACAAGTAGCTAAACATGCACCACCATTCAAATGCTATAGACTCAGTATGAGTGAGGCATGAGTATGCTTCTGAAAAGTTGATGGGTGCAACTTTCAGAAAGGAACACCTCTTCTTTCTTAATATAACTTCTTTCTAAAATGTCTCAAAGGTAGGCCTGTATGGCTGTGTTCCCATAAACCAGAACACTTGTAATTTGAGTGAAGAGTGTACCAGTTCATTGTCCTAGTGCTGGAACTGGAAATTAAACTTGCATGAAACAATGTAACTGCCAGCTATAATGCAAGGATGGTGATGTTTGGTGATTGCGAGGTTCAGTTGCAGCCCCTTGTTGGGGGGCCAGGCCTGTAGACTGTCATAGTAACACCAGAGACTTAAGGAGCCATTACTCTTGTTACTCGAGTTGTGCTGCAGTAGTGCCTTCCCTCCCTGGAGTGCAGCCTCTGAGGACAACTAGGGGGAGGATCGTCAACAACCTTGAGCCTTCAACAAAAACAAAGCGACTCTTTGAGCCCTTCAATGAACCTACTGCCATTATCCAACAAATTTGCCACTCCTGTTCCACAGCGCAATCGCGCGCTGGTTGCGTCCATCATTTGCACGGAGAAGCAGAAGCCCTGGTTCTGCCCAGCAGGCGCCACGCGGCAAGCGGTGGGCGGGGCCGCCTCCCGGAAGTCTCTCCACCGACATCGGGCCCGCTGTCGGATTCGCTGGCGGGCGAGAGCGCCGAGAGCCGCGGCCCGACCCGGAGAGCTGGTAAGTGGTGCTGCTGGGCGCAGCCCTGGGGGAAGGCGGGCCCTGATCGCGCCGCTTTCGTAGCAGCCGCTTTCGTAGCGGGCCCTGATCGCGCCGCTTTCGTAGCAGCCGCTTTCGTAGCGGGCCCTGATCGCGCCGCTTTCGTAGCTCCTCTGCTGGCGCACGGTGCCCTCGGAGGAGGGCGGGATCCTGCTGGGTGGGTCTTGCCCCAGCAGTGAGGCGCTATAGACCTCACCCCGCCGTCCAGTCCTCCCTGAGATCTGAGCGGGCCGGCTCCTGCTGGGAGAGAGGACACCTTCTCTTCGCTTCATTTGGATTATTAGCGGGCTTTGCTGGCCTGGATGTGTGCACAAGTAGGCTGGCAAGAGGTGGGCTTCTCCCCGTCCTTTCGTCCTGGGGGTCTAATCCTTGGTAGAGATTGTGGGTGTGAAACCAGAGCTCCCCAGGTCCAAAGATTATTCCTTTGTATATTTCCAGAGGGGTGATCGTGTTGAGTTGTTGCAGCAAAAAACCAGTTTTATGGCATCTCAAAGATCAAGAGATTTGTTTTGGCATAGGCATTCACTTAGCAAGCAGTATGCATGAAACCCTGTACCTAAACCAACCTGTTAGCTTTAAGGCGCGGTAAAACACTGTTATTTTGCATTATTAAGAGGGCTGCGTGTGTAGCTGAGCTTTCCCCAAGAGTGAGTTACTGTCAGTTGAATCCTCTGCTGTCTTTGAGTCTTTCAGTGTGTCTCTGTGATAATGCATTCTGGTGCCTTCAGCGCTGCTGCTAGCCTGCTTGAGGTTTCATGCGCAGGCCTCGTATCATCAGTGTGGGGATCCTATGATGAAGATTACCAGCTTCCTAGTAGGGTTTCCACCATGCAGTCCAGTTTCAGGAAAGAAATAGCTGTGCAAAATCACATTCATCTAGAAAAAAGAAATCAAATATAAGTGTAGCTTAGCTTTTGCGAGAGAAAGTTGTGCATCCCATCACATCCTTTGCAATGATAGCCTTTCTGGAATAGCCTGATAAAATTTATAATAGACATTTGGGAGGCTGAGATGAGTTCCCTATGAGAGAGCAGAGTTCCAAGTTGTTATAATGCAAAGGGCAAAGTCTGATTCCAGACAGAAAATGTTCATTAAACTGTGTTGCCATAAATAATTATACCAGTCCTGATGATCTTGTATTTATAAATGAGGACTCAGTTATTACAGTTGCACCCTACCTTTGGATGAAGCCCAGTTCTCACCTAAAAAAGGAACAGTGGACTCAGTAACTTTTTCTTTCCTTGAAGCTGTGATGTTGCCTGAGCCTGTTGCTTTCTTCTTTTTGAAACAAAGAGTTTGTAAATCAGCCTCTGAATGGAATCACTTTTAAAATTATTTGTTGTTCTTTGACATTTGATGAGTGGCATAAATTCAGCTTTGCTGCCGATTGGTAAAATATGTCACGCTTGTGTACACAGACCTGTCTATGTAACCGTTCCATCTGTGCTACTCTCAACACTTGTGTCTCCCTCTTTATACACCTTGTTGCTTTTAGGATTATGGGGTAGGGACAGAGGCCATTATTTAACAATGAGGAGGAGAGCAAAATCCCCTGGTGCTTCTTTTTTTTTTTTATTGGTCTGTTGCTGTAGTGAAAAAGTGGTTTCATGAATCAAGGGAATGGATCTGACTCGTTGACAGCATTCAGATACATCTGGTAGCTGAAAATGAGGGATGGACACCCTGTTTGGCACATACTGCAATGCAAAGTCATCCCTTTAAGTATGTATGTATGTATGTATGTATGTATGTATCAGCTTGCAAAGCATAAGTATCTGGCTATTTGAATGAAACAAACTCACAAATCTTTTCCTTAAATCCATTATTCAACTTGAGTCACTTTATCATAGAATAAAGGAGTGAGGACTGTGCATGAATGGTAGCCTTGGTTTAACAATAACTGTACAGAATGTTTTGAGAGGGGAAGAAGCCATGTTAGCCTTTGACCAGAAAAAGCAATAAAGGGGCTTGTGGCACCTTAAAAAGAACAGATTTAGGGTGCAATCCTATGCATGTTTGGGCAGACGAAAACCTACAGCTCCCAGCACATCCCAGCTGGCATGGCTAGCTGAGGCATGCTGGGAGCTGTAGGCCTTTTTTCTGTCTTGACATGCATAAAATCATGTCTTGGTTATAGCATAAAATTTTTGTGGGTTAGAGAGCCACCTCATCAGATGTATCCATATAAGTTTATGACTGGGAAGTTCCAAAGCCAAGAAGCCTTCAGTATGAGAACCAGGGTTGGTAGAGAAGGCCTTCATTTAAATTAGAATAATAATATTTGTCATTTTTACAGGGAAAAACACTTCAAACATGTGCATACAATCTTTGTCAGCATTTTAGAGCTTCATTTTGTTTGATGTGCAAATTAAAGTCTTCACTGTTTTCTTTTTAAAAGTGTTTGGACTGATTTGGGTGAGTTCAACCAACTTCAAAACAGCCGATTTTCCTGTTGCTTATTGTTCTTTATAATGGTGATTGAACAGTGGAGTTCATGGGGCTTTACTTCCAAACAGAGCTACCAAATGGATACTGGTCAGAGAATTCTATGGGTGAGAACTGTTGTCCGGTAACATAGATTTTTTTTTTAACCAAGTCTTTCTAGCATCTTCAAAACACAGCCAGTTCTTCCAAAGTCAGAGATTAGATCTTATTTTGGTGCTATTGTTAACCGCTAGCATTTGAACCGGAATTTTCCCCAGTTGGCACAGCTTGGTTGGATAATTAGTGGGGTGGGGGTAACAGTAGTTTTCCTCTGAAATGTTGGGTTTGGGCAACTGAAAATTGCTAGACTAGACTAGACAAGCTGGATTGGCTAAAGCTTGTTATGCTCTAGACTTAAATTTTCCCAAGGGAAGCTTTTGGGATAGTCTTAACCAGAACTAGACAGGTAAGTCTTGACATAAGAGCAAGTTATTAATGTTTCCTCTTATTTTTATTAAGCACATTTAAGTAATGACTATGCCTGTGCCTGAACACCATAAATTGCTTTCAGACAATGTATCCTGAATATACATTTTTAAATGGTTTAGGTAGTATATAATGATATGTCTTTTGGAGCAACTTTTTGACCAGAAAACCTGCAGGTGAAAAAAATTCTTACTGGTGTATGCACATTGCTGCTTATTTTCATTGGTTGTAGAAGCTTGGATATCTTCTTCCAAGGAAACAATGTTTTTGAAGGTATTGAATAAAAGCTGAGAGGACCTGCAACTCTGGAGGTTAGAGACTAAACTACAGGGACATATATGTTGGTTCAAGTAGGTGCTTTCACCTGTCCTATCTACCTTTTTAAAGGAAGTAGTTTAAATCAGCAAAGCAAAAAGTAATTGCAATATATTTGTAATTCTGATAAGATGTTGGGTTACATCAGTATTGGCATGCTGCATTAAATGCTATCTAGTAATGGTTCCTAGAGGTATTAAACAGTTGTAAAATCAAATCAAAAACCTATTAGTAATCAATAAATTTGTAAATGATAAATATATTTTAAAACTTGCATTAGATATCATTGAGTGTTACAATAAATCAGATGATTACGGAAAAGAGATTAGGCAAATCTTAGATATGTGTTCCTCTTTCCTTTAAGTTGTCCATGGAAGAAGATCAGTCTTTTTGTTTTATATTCAAATAATGTTAGCATTGCATCTAAACCCTATACAATAGTTATTTGTAATCACAACTTAGTAAAACAAGGTTTTAACTATGTTGTAAGCCGCCCCGAGGCTTCGGTGAATGGGGCGGCATAAAAATGTTTTAATAAATAAATAAATTGTTTCAGAAAACCACAGTTAATTGCAATTTGTCCAATGTTTGCATATAATGTTAAACTGTGGTTAATCAGTGGAAGGTTGGAAGTCAGCCACATAGAAGCCCTTCTGTGATGATGAACCATTGTTTCCTGTTACCCCGATGATTCTCTTCTGTGATAAGGAACCATAGTTTTCTGTTACATCAAAATGCTCTTATTGTGTATGAAGTCAAATATATGGAGGGTAGTGTTGCCCTGAAGCAAGGCAGAAGTATGTCTCCTGAATTTTCTGATGGTCTGCTGTGAACTGCCTGTTTGTAGGTCCTGTTTTGTGGCACCACACAAAGTTGCTTGCGTAGCTGTAGCACAGTTCTACTTGCATGAGAATGATGATGAAACCAGATCTGTGGTTTTACTTGAGGGAACAAAGCTAGGAGGCTGTATAAGTAGAGATATTGCTGTTGTATCTGTTGATCTGGGCAGATGTTGCTCTGAGAAACCAGCATGCAACTGAAAGATGCATCCTTTGCTCTCCACTAAGGAGCTGTGGCTAAGTGGCAGAGCACCTGTTTAGGTTTGATTCATGGCATCTCCTGCCTGAAACTCTGGAGATCCACTGCCAATCTGTGACGACGACACTGGTCAAAATGGATCAGTGGACTCACTCTATACAAGGCAGTTATATATTTGGTTACTGCCCTACAGGATTGCTTTTTGCTTTTTTCCCCCTTACTTGGAATAATTTCACTTTTGGAAGAAGGTGTAACAGTTTTGATCCATAGTGTACAGCTTGAGGCTTGAATCTTTCCTGATATCTGCACTGCTTTTCTGTAGTGATGTGGACATGTTTTCAGCTGCTCTTCTAAATACAACCTGCTTCTGCTAGGGTGCTGGAAATACAATCAGGAAAAGAAACAAGATTTACAGGTTCATGTTAGTAGCAAACCCAGTCCAGAGTCTTGTTTCTGACTAATGCAAATCTCCATGTAGCTAAGATCTTAATGAACTTGCTAAAGTCTCACAGGACCAAAGGGCTCATTTTGCTCTGTTAAAAGTGCAGAATGCTAGAAGTTGAGGCAAAACTTGGTAGCTTAGTTCAGAAAAATAAGGTGAAAAAATGGCACAATTCACCTTTCCTGTATTGCGGCAAGCAAGTAGAACGTGTCAGTATTCCTGAGTGAAGCAAAATTTGAAGCTTTTGGGTAAGGAAATGTTTGTGAAGTAGAACAACAGTATTGTTGATGATATTGCTGATGGGGTGGGTTGTCGCCCAGTGGCTGAGCACCTGCTCTGCTCTGTACACAGAGGGCCCCAGCTTTGGTCCATGGTATCTCCAGGTGGGGCTGGAAAAGCTCTAGATGGGGCTAGGGATTAGTTCAGCATAAGCCTGACAGTCCTCAATAAGGCAAAGGCTGGGGGTTGTCGCTTGGGTGCTGAGGCACCTGAAGTGCTTTGGTCCTGCAGGTGCGAGCCAGCAAACTCATCTCCGGACTTGGAACTAGAGAGATTGCCCATCACATCAGCATGAGCTCAGTGGCAAGGGGCAATGTCAAGGCAAGCCCCAAATTGTGGCTGTCT